CATCTACAGAGTTTTGGGCATTTTAGTCAATACCACGTTGGGGTTTTCCTCATTTACCCTTACCAAAAAGCGCAAAACATAGTGTAGCACTGGTTATTTTGTCATTAACATTAGCTTGGGACTAATTGGCTCATAAGATAAACTATAGGACCAAATGGGTCATAAGATAAAGATTTGGGATTTATAGGTGCATCGCCCAAATATTAAACTTTAATATAATATAAAAAATGAAAAAAAGAAGACATTTAAAAAATAAATAAAAAAAGATATTTAAAAATCACAATTCACATATATAAATAATTGTAAATATATTAAGAAAAATGGGGTTTCTAAACCCCAAGCCTTGTGGGAGATTCAATCTCTCAATCTTAATTTTCTAAATTTTTGATTTAAAAAGAAAAAACCTCAACATTTATTGATTTGGTTATAATCCTCTGATCAGCATTTATTAACTTTTTCCAATCCATATGCCTACATTTATTGATTTGGTTAAAATCCCTAATTAGCATTTAAATCCAATCTCCCAATCTAAATTTCCTAATTTTTTGATTTTAAAAAAAAAAAAAAACATTAGCATTTATTAACTTCTCCCAACCCCTAAGTCTTACCCTTATAATAACACTTTAATGCACTAAGAACAAGCATAAAAAAAAAATCTTTGAAATCCAACACATATGAATTCCTTGAAAAGTTCACAACAGATATGATTATTATTCCTCATAATACACTTTAATGCATTAAGAACAAGTATAAAAAAAATTTATTGAAAAGTTCAACACATATGATTATTATCAAAATATTAAACTTTAATATAATATAATAAAAAGAAGACATTTAATTCCTTGAAAAGTCCAACAATATGATTATTATCAAAATATTAAACTTTAATATAATATAAAAAAGAAAAAAAAGACATTTAAAATAAATAAAAAAAAACATTTAAAAATCGCAATTCACATATATAGATAATTGTAAATATATTAAGAAAAATGGGGTTTCTAAACCCCAAGTCTTGTGGGAGTTTCAATCTCTCAATCTTAATTTTCTAAATTTTTTATTTAAAAAAAAAAAAAAACTCAGCATTTATTGATTTGGTCAAAATCTTATGATCAGCATTTATTAACTTTTTCCAATCCATATGTTTGCATTTATTGATTTGGTCAAAATCCCTGATTAGCATTTAAAATCCCCTCATACAATAATTATAGATATAGTCCGTCCATAGTTACTGCAGTAGCCTTTCGAATTTCTTTTGTACATTATGATTAGCGATAAGATTGTTAAATTATTTTTATAAAAAATCTTAAAAAACATAATTATATTATTTAAAAAAATTAAAACAAATATAAATATTTATAATTATCCTGTGCATAGCACGGGTAATAGGCTAGTACTATATATTAAGCAAAAAGAAGTTTTTTAACCCCAATCCTTGTAGGAGTTCCAATCTCCTAATCTAAATTTCTTGATTTTTTTTATTTTAAAAAAAACCCTTAGCATTTAATTACTTCTCCCAACTCCCAAGTCTTACCCTCATAATAACACTTTAATACATTAAGAACAAGTATTAAAAAAAAATTTAAAATCCAACATATGAATTCTTTGAAAAGTTCCAACACATATAATTATTATCCCTCATAATAACACTTTAATGCATTAAAAACAAACATAAAAGAAAATTCTGAAAAATTTCAACACATATGATTATTATCAAAATATTAAACTTTAATATAATATAATTAAAAAAAAGACATTTAATTCCTTAAAAAGTCTAACACATATGATTATTATCAAAATATTAAACTTTAATATAATATAAAAAAAGAAAAAAGAAGACATTTAAAAATCGCAATTCACATATATAGATAATTGTAAATATAATTCATGCATAGCACGGGTGATATGCTAGTAATAGATGAACGGAATTGTAACATTATAAAGAATTAATTATTACAATTAAAAGTAAAATGGTCAAAGCCAGGTTGTGGTAAAAATGCAAGAGTGCTAAATATAATTAACCTTCTCTTGGTTCCATTTATTTACAACTTATTTAGTTTAATTTTTAAAATGGTCTGCTTAATAATCAGCTATACTCCAAAATCAGGTCAGGTGTTTGTTTCATTCTTAAAATTTTTACCTTAAAATACTCAAAATAAGTTAAATTTTATTTCTTCGTTTGAAAATGAATTGATGCCATGAAAACATGGCGATGGATACGCCAAAATCTGAGCTCAGCAGAAACTTCAACTTCAGAGATATCCAATTACATTTTTAAAACATGGGGTTTGAGTTCAAACATGTCCAAATCAAAGCTTAATTTAAAATTAATTTTTATTAATTATGAAAGAAATAGAGAGCATTAAGGCCTCGTTTAAGAATAAATTATTTTAGTAATTTTTTTAACTTTTTATGAAAAGATATATTAAAAAATAAAGAGAGTGATGTGACAACTTATAATGACTTTTTAATTTTTTTGATTAAAATATATAGTTGACAAACCAAACCCAACATCAGAGTTGTTGATTGTTAGAGTATAAATAGTGATGTACTATTTGCATATTGCATGTTGCAACTTATTTTAAATTTGATAAGTAGAAATTAAAATACCATCCCTTAATTTCCAAGTCTCACATCCAAAATAAATTATTTTAAACAAATTATAATCACTTTAAAATATTTATACTATTATTAAAAGTGAACATATTATTTGGTTTTCATAAATTTCTTTTTCTCTTTTCGCCAAGTGAACATTCTCTTTTTGTACTTTAGTGTTACTTTCTTCATCTAAAAGGGAAAAAAATAAAAATATTAGTTAAAAGAGAGGTACAAAACTTAAATCTAAAATCATTAACTTTAACTTACTAAAGAACACTTTCATATTTAAAAAAGTGGCCTGTGAAGGTGGTTTTCTTTTGCGGATAGAAGAATGCAATTTGGTAATAATTCGCATAATTTTCCACAATTAACATAAAAGAGTAATGCAAGAGGTCTTAAAAGTTCGATCAAAATTTTTATATAATATTTTACATGGGTGTGAAACCCACACCATGTATTAGTCCCACACCTATGTGAAGTAGAAGTTTTGATAAAATTTTTAGGATGTCTAGCGTTTTTTAACATTAAAAGGGAAATCCATGACTTGATTAGTTGAGCTTCAATTGGGAGAAATTATGAAATGTTAGAGGAGCAAAATAGAAATTCATTAGCTGTTAATGTGTCTAGATCAAACAATTGTTGGAGCTCAACCATCAAAGTTGTTTGTTTGTCTTCGTGAAGCTCAACTGGTTTTGTTTGGGTTGAGAACCCAATTATATTGAAACCGATGACTCTTCTATAAATTATTTTTTATTGTTTATTGGGGGCGGTAATAGGAGAGAGTGTATAATTAAATTCTAACCACCTATAGACATAGGCCATAAGGCCATGGCTTAGGCCCCTCAAAATAGATTCAAAAAAGAGATCCCATCCTATTATAATTTAGTGTAATATATTAGGTATATTTTAAGTCTAGAAAAATTAAAAAAAGGCTCAAACTAACTTAAAATAAAGGGAATTTTTTTTAAGGTCCCTGTTATTAAGATTTTATAGCATAAAGGACACTCAATATTTTTATAATGTCTAAGGTCTCTCAACATCGATCTAGAGAAAATTCAATCCAGAGAATTTTTCTGGATAAATCACAGAGAAAATTCCAAATATCTCTAGATACATCACAGAGAAAATTCCAAATTTCTCTGGACACATTACAGAGAAAATCTCACCAGAGAATTTCTCTAGATTCAACCTAGAGAAATTTCCCTCTCCACCACAGAGAAATTTACTCAACCCCAGAGAAAATCCCCTCAAACCAGAGAAATTCACTTGTAAATCTCTTGAAACAATGAAAACATACCTGGAAACATAGCAAGCCATTTAATCATTTGAGCTTCAAGTCCAGATTTCAACCTTTGTAACTTCTTGAATTTATTTCAAATTCTACACAAGAGTTTACTTCATTTTTGTTATCTACAATTTGATGGCTTTAGTGACTTGGATACATATTCACAGAGAAAATCTCATCACCAGAGAATTTCTCTGGATTCAATCCAGAGAAATTATTTAAAACCAGAGAAATTTTCTGCATCACCCCCTCCAAAAAAAAAAAAAAAACAACAACAACAACAACCTAAAACAATGGCTTGAATTATTGAATGTCTCTGCAACTCTCTACATCATCCATTCATCCATCAATCCCAAAAATCCAACTCAGTCAAATCTACAATTAACCAACTCTCTGCATATTTATCAAGTTTCTTTTTAATTCTGTTTTTGGTCTTTGAAATTTCTCTGGACACTTCAACCCAGAGAAATTCTTCAAAACCAAAGAAATTCCCTCTCTACCCTAGAGAAATTCACTCAAACCCAGAGAAAATCCCATTCCAACCAAGAGAAATTCACTCAAACCCAGAGAAAATCTCTCTTTCTAACCCAAAGAAATTCCCCCTCACGATAATCTTTTCTAGTTGAAAATCATAAACCTCAGGCAAAATGTGTTCCATGGTTCACAAGAACAAAATAAATAAATAAATTGATTAGAACAAAATACTAACAAGTCAGAGAAAATTCATTCAATTGTTTACAAGAAAAATCAGTAATAGAAATTACTTGCAAGAAATTTACTAGGCAAGTCAAGAGAAAATAACAAAGCATTGTCCATGTGAAGGTCCTCAACCATCTCACAGTGTCATCTCCATGCAAAGCAAGGAAGTGTTCATCTTGCTTAATGCTCTCTTTAAGAGACTCCCCTTTCCAAAAACCCAAAAAATCCCTAACCTATGGAATGAAAAAATTAAAATCCACAGTATGAATAAACTACTTAAGACAAAGAGGAAATTCACTCAAACCCAGAGAAAATTCAAATTTCTCTGGGTTCATTTTGACCAATTTTCTCTGGGTTTTCAAATTTCTCTGAGTTTATTTTCACCAATTTTCTTTGGATTTTCAAATTTCTCTGGGTTCATTTATAAACCAGAAAAAATTCAAATTTGATTAATTTTCTCTGAGTTTATTTTCACCAATTTTCTCTGGGTTTATTTTGATCAAAGTGTTGCATCTCAACTTGCCCAACAAAAGGAGTTCAACCTGAAGAAACCTGCTTCATATCATTATGACCTCCTTCTTTTGGGCTTCTTGGTGAGCTATTGGCCATGGAACTTCACTATCTTTCTTTTTGTTTTTTTATTGACTTTTATCACTTCTCCAAGGGTGTCACAAATTATTAAACCAGAGTGATTGCCTATGGTTATAGTGAGTGCAGATTTTGCCTTCACTCTTTGATTTTTTTTTTTTTTTTTTTCCTTACCAGGTCATATTATGTGGTCTTATTGGTATTCCTCTTGCCAACGGAGTTATTCCCCAATCTCCAATGCATACGAAAAGTTTGGCCACTCTGAAACATCAGGTAATATTTATTTTACATGGTTATTGTTTTAGCAGAATCTTTTTCTGTATAAACCATATCAAATTTCAATGTGTAGGAGTTTCTTTGCATTATGTATCTCTACCTTTTCTAATCCAATGGCATCTTACTTCCTTTTTGTAGTCTGTTTTAAGAATTCCCTTGCTGTTTAAAGTGTCTCTTCATTTTGTCACATCAGTACCTGTGTTTCTATTCTTGTTTTTCTGTATTGATATCTGAAGAGAAAAATATTTCTTTTGTCTTCCTCCTTGAAACAGCTTCTACGGAATAAACTTGTATCAACAGCAAAAAGAAGTATGAGTAAAAATTCAAACCTGGGTCAATTGTACCGGAGCATACAAGAAGCATACAATGAAATGCAGACTATGATCAAGGCAAGTGTCTGTCTACTAATTTCCCAAATCCTAACTACATTTTGTTTTTCTTTCTACCATACCCAATCCAAATAAACTTACTTGTATTAGTTTAAACAGCTTTGCTGCAGAACCCTACTACTAATATCTCTGACCTAAAACTACCATTTCCGATTTGCTTAGTGTTTTCCCTATTTTGGTTTGAACAACTCAGCTGCAAATAATCAATCACACACTCTCTCTCTCTCTCTAGCACATGTAGAAACACTCTGAATTATATCTACGGAAATATACCAAACTGATTGAAAAATTCTGTTTGATCTGTATCTGCCTCATAACCCACAAAAATATACCAAGTTGATCTGAAGGGAGAGGCACTGGCAGCGGTGGCAGAAATAGTAGAGGAGGCGGTAGCTGCGGTGCAAGTGAAGTGATGAGATCGGGGAGAGAGAGAGGTGAAATTGATTTGGAAATTTTTCTGTGTATATATGAGTGTGGGGGTTGAGGACCTTAGACATAATAAAACAATATTGTGGATCTCTTACATTACTAAATATGGGAGATGGATCTTAGACTAATTTTTCCTAAAATAAATTGACCCATTAAAAAATTGAAAGGCCATTTAAAAAAATTAGCATTGTTATCCATTGAAAATAGACCCAAAAAAGGGGTCTCTCTTATTATAGTTTAGTCTAATATATTAAGTATATTTTAAGTCCAAAAAAAAATTAAGAAAGGTCCAAATTAATTTAAAATAAATTAATCCATTAAAAAATTGAAAGGCCCATTGAAAATGATTTTGTAAAAAAATTAGATTATGCAAGTATGATTGATTTATTTGCTTCTAAAAATACAAGAAGGGTGAGGATCAATCAATACTTATTAGTTATTGTAATGTAATGCTAAGTATTTTTTTGTGATTTTGACACAAATCTTTTGCTCTTTACTTTCAATTTTTTTTCATTCAATGAAAAAAAAATGTGAAGGACCCAAAAATTTATTAGTTAATTTTCAACTGTAGACCCCGAAAATCTCAAGACCGGGCCTGGCCACCTAGTAAGGTGCACGTGTTCTTTGTCAATGGGACTTCGCTTAACTCAGCAACTCCTAAGTATCGGCCATACATACAAATCTATATCGTATTAGGAACCGGACAAATCAGGGAAATAGGATAGAGCGAATGTGGGTTAATTTTATAATTTTAGAAATGACAATATTAATACAATATTATAGATAATCTAATATATTACAGATGATAATTTATAACTAATGAGATTTAAAAGGTATGAGATGAGAAATAAATAAACAAAAATGATGTTATGAGATGAGAAATAAATAAATAAAAATGACGTTAAATATAATGTTTTAATCTTATTATATTTTAAAAATTATATCATATTATGCCTCTGTTTGGCAAGATGGTTTTCAGGTTTTTTTGGCTATTTTAGCCACAAAAAACAAAATAGGCTATTTTAGCCATAACAAACAAAACATCACATCCAACCTATAATCATTACATTCTTCTCTCACAAAAAAAGTCAAAAAAGCCAAAAAGCCAAAAAGTTCTTCCCAAACCAAGCTTTTTAGCCCAGGCTAAAATAGCCAAAAAAGCCAAAAAGCCAAAAAGCCAACCTACTTCCCAAACCAAGCCTATATATAAATATATTTAATAAATATAATCGATAAAAGAGTGGAGTGGAGTAAACCAAGACCAAGAAGAAAAATCCGTCCCACTTCATGTCCTCAGCTGGGCGGGGAGGGAGATTGCCATCCCCCAAACCCAGGCCCTAGCAAATGAATTAATGGGCTCAATTCTTTAGACCCAAGCATGATGCAAGCCCATATTTTACATTGTCGATTATGGGCTGATCTGTTCTCCAAGTTTTTTTTTTTGGGCTTTTGGGGAAGCTAAAGCCTATCTAGCAAGATTCTAAATGCACCCATCAAATTTTTCTCTACACCAACATATACAAACATGTGTTTTTAAGCCACTAAATTATATGATAGACCACAACTTAAATAATTGGATTCACTTCCTCTATCTCACATTTTGGGGTGTTTTGGCAACACAATAAAAAGTCAAAAGTCAGCTTTTAACTCATTTTGAGTTACATCACATCTCACATGAAACAATAAAAAAAGTAAAAAAGTTAATTTTTAACCATTTTCACAAAACACCTCTTTGTAAAAGATAAATTGTGGATATAGAATTGATTTACTAATTGGTTAGTGGATATGTTACACGGTTACTAATAATAGTTTGAATCTCTTCTCGTACGTTAATTCACTAGTTTAAGAGTAGCCTCTAAACCTTGATTTTTTCTCTCTGTAGGCGGGTCTAAAGAGTTTTGCTTGTGATGAGTTCTTGATTATCAGCAAAAATATAAAATAAGAGAGTAATGAGTAGGCATTTGTTGAGAAAAAAGAAAAACGTTATTAAAATTTAGCTTATATTTTGTCACTTTTCTCCCCCCTCTCCTTGATCCTTACTGAAATTCATGTTCTGAACACTCCTTAAATGACTTGGTAATTTGTTTAATGCCTAATATTGGTGTTACACTTGTATAGAAAAAAAAGTTCAAAAACAGCCCCTTGCTTGTAATATACTTATGCATAATGTATGGGCTTTGACCTTTTTTTTTTATTTTATTTTTTCTTTGACTTTGCCACCAATTTTGAACTAGAACACCATGTTCTCCCTACTGCATAATTTAGATACAACTATGAGAAGTCAACTCCCATTGGAAATGTCATTACCTCTTCTTTTCTTTTTTTTTTGGAACGCCATTACATCTTTCTTTATTCTTCAATTATTTTGATTGTTTATATATAGAGAAGATTTTAATAAATTTAAACCAATGATGGACTCAAAATTTGTACGAAGATAAATCAAGATAAAATTATTACACTTTCGAAGGGTTAAGTAAAACTAATATGAATTTTAAAAGTTAAAATATAAATGCTCAAAATCACATAACTAATGAGATTTTTGCAAAATTTGAGAGGGTCTATATAAAATTATAGAGATTTTTGAAGGGCTAAAAGACTAATTTCTCTTATTAATATTTCAAATTGTATGAAACTAATAAAAAATTTCTAAAATTGGGAATCGACTCCTCATGTGTCTTCTAATATATTTAATTATTTTAAATTTCTAACCAAAAAAGTGCACAAAGTGCATCCATAGACCAATTAGGTAGGCAGTCATTTTTATTCTTGAATTAGTGCTTGAGTTTGGATTTTAGTTTTTACTTAATTTTAACTTTTTATGGTAATCTTTTTCAATTAATCACTTATTGTAAAGTTATGTCAATGTTGAGTTTCTTTTAAATAATTTTCACATCTCTTACCCCATACCAATTTTTGAAGTTTTTTTTTAACTTTTTCAATTGTAAACCATTTGATAACAATTCTAAACCTCCCTTCACCTTGTAATTACACCACCATATTGTTGGCTTGTTGCCACCAATTTGATTATAATAATTGTAGTCCAAAAAGGCAAAAGTATTCACCAAGTTTGAACGCGTATGAATATTGACATCAATTTTATACACTAATTTTGAGCTAGCTGAGCAAGAGGATCACTGTCACAGGATAATTTTATATATAGGGTTGAACTTTTCTTAAATTTAGGTTCAAGTTCAAATCTAAATTTGAAAAATCACAAATCTCATTTTGATAATTCAAACGGCTTATTTTATAATGTCTTCAGTATATATCATTTATAAAAAAAAATTTATAAAAAAAAAATTCACCCAATAATGGTAATATTTTTATTTTATCACGTTTATCTCTAAAAAAATAGATGATAAATATATTTTTAAAAATAATTTTTTTTTTTCAAAAATAATTTTTTAATACCCCTAATGTATATAGAATTTTTCATATTTCTAAACTTTCATAATTAGGAGACTCCAATTAACGAAGAATAAGTATATTAAGCCATATTTATCTATCTTGAATTCACCTTGAATGATGATGTGTGATTAGAATTAAGGGAAATTTAGTCAAAATCCCTTCATTGGACCCTTGTTTGGTGAAAATAGCAGCCCAACTATTTTTCTTCATAAACTCCTTAAGAAGAAAATGCATAATTGAGTAAGGACAAAATAAACTTTTTTTTTTTCTTTCATGGACAATATTGACAGAGTAACATGTTACTGCCAAATAAAGTAACATGTTACTGTCAAACAAAGTAACATGTTACTATTTACATCAATTTCAACAGTAATAATTTAAAAAAAAAAAAGAATTTCATAGTCAACATCGATCTTATTTGATAGATCTTGATGAGAGAATTAAAAAAATATTAATTTTCTAAAAAACCGACATTTACATCAAAAGTTATATTATTTTAAAGTTTAATATTTTGATAATAGTGATATTTGTTAAATTTTTCAAGGAAAACTTTTTGTGCTTGTCCTTAATGCATTAATATAGCAATTCTGGTTTTGACTCGATCTTTGTTGTAATTTGAATACGGGTTTCTAGGTTCCATACTGTTGAAAATGGCTTGGTTACCTTCTTTTCCCTTAAACTTGGTTATTGGATTGTTGTGGTTATGTTTGGGACAGGTTGGTTGTTCAGTTTCCCAACTCTTGTTACCCAGAATTTTGCTCTTGTGCTCGAGCGACGCTTCTTGCGCTCGAGCGGGATTTGCAAATTCTCAGTACTTTTGCAGGTCTGCAAACTACTAGGATAGTGTATTTTACACTTGAGAGGGTATGCGCTCGAGCGGCCATTCTTGCGCTCAAGTGATGTTTTTCTGTCTGTAAAACTACTGGATATGTGTATTTTGCGCTCGAGTGGTCATTTCTTGCGTTCGAGCAGAATAACTTATTATGTCTGACGTTCGAGCGTCAACTCTTGCGGTCGAGCAGACTGTGCGTATATCAGTTCGCAGCAGCCTTCTTTTACATCACTTTT